GCTGCTTCGACTTGATTAAAAGTTTCAAATCGACGTCCTCACAAAAAGTGCTCCATTGAACGAAACAAGCCATAATCAGAAGGAGCAAGGTCAGGACTATAAGCCGGATGCGGTAGAACCTGTACACCATCGAGTTCATCAAGCTTCTCGTTGGTCAAATTGGCACGATGAGCTGGAGCATTGTCGTGTTGGAGAAGGGCACGTTCTCGACGCATCAACGTCGGGTAGCGCTGCTTCAAGACGTTGTAGACGCGCTCCAATTGCTCGCTTTACAGCTTGGCCTTCACAGCTCAACCATCAGGGACCAATTCAAAGTGCACAACGCCATCGACATTTCACCAGAGGCACAACATGACTTTCTTGGCGAAACAATCTTGACGAGCAACCGGTGGCGGATTTTGATCTCGTAGAACCCAACGCCTAGAACGATCACGATTGACCAAGAAAACCCACATTTCGTCGCATGTCACAATGCGCTTCCAGAACCGATCGTCCAACGGATTGTCGAGCAGTTGACGGCAGACTTCAACACGTCGTATAGCTTGTGCTTCAGTGAGTTGGTGAGGATCTTGTCGTTGCTTTTTGTGGACAAAATCAAACTTGTGCAGGTAATTGACAACGGTCCGCTGCGCGACTCCAAGTCCATCGGTCAAATCGCGAGTACTTGATGACTGCTCGTCTTCCAAAGCGGCACACAAGTCCTCTTCGTCCAGAACAGATGGTCGGCCAGAACGAGGCTTGTCTTCGAAGTTAAAATCGCCATCCTCGAATCGCTTGAACCATTTTATCGCGGCAGTTTTCCCGATCGTTCCTTCGTTTTCCACTTTTGCAGATTTCGGCAGCAGCAGCTCTTGCAGGCATACCTTTCTTCCAATAGTGGCGGAGCAAAACACGAATTTCAAAATTATTCATCTAAATTCAAATGATGAAAATGAAATTACAAAATTTACACAACAATAGCTAGCACACGCGAGATATACAAGTTTTAAAAATGAAACACAAAAAACTTTAAAAGTAAACTTAAAAAATTAAAATTTTTGCAAGTGATCGCGAACTTTTTGCTCAACCTAGTAGTTCGAAATTCACACTAAAAATCAATTGAAATTTTCAATTGTAATGAAGTCAAGCGTACAAATAGCTAGAAACAGTTAGTTTTCGCATGATTGTGAACAATTAATTGATAATGGTCACATTGAAAAGAATCGTACTTTTTATAATACCTACTATATTTAAAAGTTTTTCATGAATATCGAATGTATATAGTGTGGGTGTTTACATGAATAGAATATCATACCCACACTCGCATAATAAATGGCACCTTGAATCACTCAATGATTTTATTTTATTTCAATCTCTCTATTGCCGCATTCAACAAAAAAGTATAGTCTTGATGCTTTTCGAATGAATATAATTGTGTACGATACATGAAGTATTACATATTAGTGGTTGAGTCTGTTTTGCAGCATAACAAGTGACAATATTCATTAAACATAGAGAAATCATGTTTTATTATCGGATCGCACCAATGATTGATCCCGGTCTCGTCTCGGCTTCTTTGCATATGGTTCCGATCCTGACGTGGTCTCGTTTCGACCCCCATGATCTCTAGTCGCACTAATACGTCGTCGCTTCCTAGACGTTGCTGGGGCACCAGACGTATTTTTTAAATAAATAGTGACTTCAATATCGACTTTCTCAAATACACGTTGTATCAGCTCTTTTACTTGTGACCATTCGAGTTTATCCAAGCCACAGCCAATACATGGCATCGCCAATTGATGAATGTTGTTTCGAATACATGAATCTCGCATCGAAATCAGACTTGCTTCTAATGTTTTCAATGTTGGCTTGTGAAAATAGCGTTCTTTTGTTACCAAATAAAACACATGACGGTTTTCAACACGTATATAAGCACAACCACCCACTCCAATCTCTACGCATCAAAATACAAAGTTATGTTATTTCCTTTTTTACAGCTCCTTCTTTTTCAATAAAACTAAAAATCTATCGACAATGAAGATTTTCAATAATTTGCCGATTGAATGAGACAGAAAACTATATCAATAGATTTAAATGAAATATGTTTTCGCAAATGTACAGAAAAAAGAATTATCTATTCTATTGTAAAAGAACGTACTTTGTCTTTTGAGATCGTCAACACGTCCAAATTGGTCACGAAATTGCGTTGCAATACCTTTTGACAAGTTCATGTCGGTTGAGACACAATGTGCAAGTGACGTTGCCGATGGAGCCGAAAATAGATCACCTTGAACTTCTTGAAATTTCATTGTGCTATAATCACTTTTTATTGTTGCTGTGTTATTTAGAATTTGAATATAAACTTCAATCTTAAACATACACATAGAGATGGCTACAATCGAGAAGACAGAACTAACCAAAAAGCAAAATCTAAGACAGTCCAACGCGAACAGATTAAGTTTTTATATAAATGAAAATTAGTTAGGGTATAAACAAATGAAGCTACACGATATTTAGTAGTAGCCATGGTGCCGAGTTGCTTCGAAAACCAAAAGACAAGATGAGCCCGACAATGCGTCGAGGTTTGTCAACATATTTACTTTGTGAAAGAAAGTAAGTACACTGTTGTGTTGTTATGGGAAGAGAGAAACTTTTCAAAAGCAGAAGATCAAGTAGCTACCATCTTGGTAGCTGTGGAAAGGCAAGCATCACAAGTTTTATAAATATTGCTGTATGGATAGAACAACAAAGTCATGCAATTATTCGATCTGTTCGTTGTCTCCTTTGGTCATTTTTGAAATCAAGGAGATGTAGTCGAATTCCCGAAATTCTGAAATCTTGGAGCTCTTCTCAATTTATCCTTGCTCCAATCCACTAAGATTCTAGAACTAACTGAGCCCTAGGAACTCATGAAACTCTTGAAAATAGAGCCATCCAATGGAATGGCTGAATCAACAGATCTCATATCTAGGAAACTATGTAACTCGCCAAAATAAGGAAACTAGTGGGTAATTTTCAGGTAGTAGGTGTAAATTTAAGTTGACATCTTCAGATTTCAACTTACAACAACATACAACGTGACACAAGGAGACACCTGCACAAACCCACAGTCAGATACGGGTCGAAACACTCGATCAACACTAGAGGACATCTTTCTATCTTCACCAACATCAAAACACAGATGCTCAGTTGCACATTAAACATCCACTCATGTGAAATCGCATTCAAACTTACGCTCGTGCGACACATACATGCATCTTGCTGATGCATAGGTACGGTGAAACCCACAACTACATCCATGTCTACAATCGTAGGTTCCATGGAATCTGTGAGTTTCGTGTGTCTCTAGAATTACGTCAATTCCTACGACTCTGTGAGTCTTGTGGTTTCCGTGAGTCCCAAGGGTTGCGTGAATTATTCTTATTTAGTGACCGTGTGGGTCTCGGCCATCCACAACGATATGAAACTTTTAAGAACTCCAACAATTTAGAATTCACGGAATCTGGTCATTACTGAAAACAATGGTATTTCTCTAAATGGTTACGTTGGAAAAGCACAGGAGGTTAGTTGGAATATCATTTCCTGGTTTGATTCCTTACGTTTGTCTGTTCGCGATGTATAAAAATCGTTCCCTTTCAAGAAATAAACCATAAATTGGTTTCTACTTCGTTCTCAAAGAGAAAAGGAACCATTTGTTTTCATTTTATCGCTTTCTGCCTACAAAAAATTTCTTTTTTTTTTGAAAAGAGAGTTGGCTGATGCTTCAGTAGCTTCTGTTATTCTATTAGTCATCAACTGGAGAAATGTAAAGATTTCACAGTACCAGCCTCCTTATAGCTCGCGACTTACTGCTCGTAATGTTACATGATGCAAAATAAATTTAACGAAAGACGCGCGAAGTGGGTACTTTTCTTCATTTTTTTCCGTTTCTTTTTGTCCATTAACACGATGTTGACAGTGTGTGTCAGAGGAAAGAAAAGAAAGAAAGAACACTTTGTCGTTGAACTCCGACGAGACGAAGAAAAATTCATTTACGATTGAGTAAAGCACAAAAGGAGTACTACATTCGATTTCAAACATGCATTCCGAATCGACGACTGATATATCGATTCTTCTTCGCTCAAATTTAAATCGTACTAGATCGTATGGCGAAAACGTAGTATTGATCATTACCGGTGCTATGAATCCAATTCATCGCAATCATATATCAATAATGACCAAAGCGAAATACTATTTAGAGCATGTACATAATTTCAATGTGATAGGTGGATATCTCTCGCCGAGGCATAATGACTATGTTCGAGAGAAATTAGGTAAAGATTACATCAAAAGTAAACCGAATTGCGATGTGTCAAAAAGCCATTGTGGAAGAAGATCAAGAGCATTGGCTGAGTGTTGATAAGGCTGAATGTATGGGTATGTAGAGTTACTGGTTACTTGCCTACATTAGTAGGAATCGAAATCAAGATTAGCAATCTATTGAGTTTAATAAGTAACTAAGACTACGCGTCATTTTCTTTTTGGAAGGAGGGAGGGGAGGGGGAGGGGGGGAAGGAGGCGAATGGAATACTCCACAATCATATCCATTGAAATCATTCCAAAATACAATCTATCCGAATTATGTATTGTATAAAAATCTCAATTTAGCTTTTTACAGACACCATATTCAATGCTTACACAGAACTTTGTTCACAATTAAATAATCTTAGATTAGAAAGGATTCTAAACATATATTCGAAAAGAGCATAACATTTTTATTTGGATCATTATGCTTGTTCTTTTTTTCTTCTGAACGATCCAAAAAACGAGGAAATGTTTTTTTGTGAAAACTTGTCACAGGATCAAAAAATAACCAACTGATCCTTAATGTAACTTTGCCTATTCTTTTAGCTCTACAATTTAAGAGCCCCGGCCAAATAACGCGCAGTCTTTACAAGTACATCAATAAAAAGTTGAACTTACCAAACCCTATTCGTGTTATTTATGTTATTGGTCTTGATTCATTTAATCGTTATAAGGGTATGCGATCATTAAGAACACCACAGGGTGGTATTGCTGTCATTTATCGTCATGGTGAAGACCAACGGCTGATAACATCGAAAACAAACCGAAACAATCCAAATATATTTTATGTATCAGCAAATGAAGAACATGTAAAAATATCGTCGACCGAATTGGAAGATATTAGTTCGACACTAATCCGAGAAAAGCTTAAGAAAAATGAAGCTTGCGAACATTTAACATATCCTTCAGTTTTAGAACATCTAAAAACAATACCACCCGAAAACCAATAAAAATCTGTTTTTTTTTTAAATAAAATCACATTAAGTGGTTGATCGATTAAAAAGAATAACTCTGTTCTTTTCTCCTTATCTGCATCTAAGTTAAAGTCAGCTAGGTTCAGTGATAGAATGTATCTTAGACGAGATCATACATGAACTTCGTGCTTTTATTCAAAGAATGTGAATCATTTTCAATAGATACACTATGTCCATAGTCACACCATTGGCTAGATCATACCATGAGACCAATCATATTCCCTTTGATCTCATGTACAAATATATTGTGTTGTATCTCTATCTTCTATATAAGCTCGTATTCAATGTGAGACAAACACATCTCACAGGTAAAACATAGCCGAATGCACATCGTATTGAATGGCATAGGCACTCACAGCTATTTAGTACGACCTCTGGAAACCAAGCCGATGCTCAATGCACTCTCTGTCATCGTATGACTACTGCCTACGATGGCACAGTCTTCTACATGATTCTCTTTAGATATGAGATTCATGCAAGGGAAAAAGTGCACTACTTTACCTCTTTTACTTCAATCTATCTTAATTTACACGATGTACTTCAATGGCACTTGGAGACACTTAGTTGATATACCAAATGTATAGGATATCTTCGTGGATAGAATTTGGATCTAACTTCATTTTTTCAGAATCTCAAACTTGTTCTATTTTATTGGAGAGACATTTTTTTGAGGGATCCTAGGGTTGTTTTTCTAATTTAGCCAGAAATATTTAGAGGTGAGACATCCGAATTTGGCTTTATTTTTCTACATAAGAATCGTTAAAACTCGAGGCTCTTTGGGTGAATGTAAGTCGTGTGTAAACATCCACATTCACAGCTACACTTCCATCTGTTAGAAGTCACAACTTAACGACGATTGCTCCTTTTCTGAAAAATAGTACTCATGAGAATGATAAAGACATCTTATGCACTATGAAAATGCTTCGTATTTCAATTCGACTTTTATTCAAAGGTTGAAAACAACTTATACAAGATAATGATTTGAAATAGGACATCTTTTTTCAATCCGTGACATGTAGCATTTTTAGTAACAATTCTTGTGTTTGCTCTAATGCCTGGGCAAAACACAGTTATTTAACAAGAAGTTGAACAAGTTGGTAGTAAGGAACGAGAAATAGGAATTCAAAGTTCTCATTTCAAAATGAAATAATATGAAAATTGAATAAAGTATCAAGCAAAATCTAATAGTTACCAATAACAAAGGTCGGATAATTATCATAAAAAATTGAATAAATTGAATCGATAAGGATGTTTAACGATGGAATAGTATCAAAAATTTCAAACACTTTTTATCCAACTTAATGTTAAACTCAACTATTCGAATTGCCATATGTTTTTCTAATTATCTCATTCATATTACTTCTGCTTCAATTAAAACTCAAGTTGTGTAAATTTGAATAAATAGATGATGAATTCGATCGATATTATTTTAAAATTTAAGCTATTTTAGCCATAGATACAGATACATTTGACAAGGAACTCATAACAACGTTGACACATAACTCTCCATCGTGACACATGTTCACAACCGTCGAGAGATGAGCAAAAGCGAAAATTAGTTAAAATTTCTCGTGAAACTTGCCGAGATTTCCTGATAGATTATAGCAATTGCGAAATATTGCTACAGAAAATAAGATAGGAATATGTCATATATTCCCTCGACTGAAAGGAGGGTCATATAAAAAAAAATAGTTTGTG